TCCCTTATTGGTTATATGACTTACAGTCTCTGGCTTCCCTTTCCATTTTCTTAGCAGTGGTTGTCATAGAGAAAAATTTTCCATTTTGATGAACTCCACCTTACAGCTTTTTCCTTTTGTAATCTGTGGTTTGGGGAATCCTATTCAAGAAATCTTTGCCTAACTCAAGATCCTATGTTTTCTTCAAGAAGTTTTATGGTGTTTGCTCTTACATTTAGATCTGAGATCCATTCTGGGTTAGTTTTTTGCATACAGTGTGAGGTAAAGATTTCTTTCCTTACTTTCTTTTTCCTCCTTTCTTTTCTTTATTTCTTTTTTCTTTCTTTCTTTGCACATGTATATCCAATTGCTCCATAACCATTTGTTGAACAGAGTTTTCTTTCTGCGTTGAATTAATTGCCTTGACATTCTTGTTGAAAGCCAGTTGGCCACATGTGTTTGGTTCTATTTCTGTTCTATTTACCCATAAGTTTATCTTTATGCCAGCACCACAACATCCTGAGTACTATGGTTTTATAGTAAGTCCTGAAATCTGGTACTGCAAAGCCTCCAATTTTGTTTTACTTTTGCAAAATTTGTTTGGCCATATTAGGCCCTGTGCACTTTGAAGCTTCTGCTTTAAGGGCAGCCATTCTCAAGATGACATCGTTGTGCACAATACCTGTTGACCTCCAACTGTAATGTCAATGTTTTATGCCACTAACAGGAGAAAGGGTGAGGAGCAGAAGTTACCTTCCTCAGAGGCCTACTCCTTTTGCTAGGAGCTTTCCCGGAGTTTGAGGTGTCCCCTCCACAGATCCCTGGATTTCTGCTCTTACTTCACTGCTACAAAATCTATGTGACCACTCCAGTTAACTTTGTCTCTTTTCTCCAGTCGTCTCCTTTTTTCACACAGACCTTCCATCCATAAGAGTCAGATAAGAGCAGGACAAAAGCATTTTCATAAAATGTAACTTGAATTAAATCAGAATCCCTTTGGCAGTCTGAAGGATGTGACTCCTAGGCTGGTGGGGGAAAGAATTAGGCATCATCCCCATCATGGTCAGAACAGAATCCTGAATTTTCAAAACAGCTTTACAGAACACCTATAGTCCCCCAGCACTTTTCCCCTGATCATTATCTCTAGCAGGGACATGATCCTTTTCTGGGGACTGCTGCATTCAGTGAGCAAACTGCCCTGTCAAGGTATGGACAGGAGGAGATGTGGGACCTAGAGTCAGAAAAACAGTGCAATGTGGAGTAATTCTTTTGATAAAGGGCATGTCACTGTTAGACTGCAAATGGCTCAGAGAGCCAGGTAATGACACTGATTAGTTTCTAGGTTCTCAACGGCATAGCTGGAGTCAACTGATCTGCACCCTGAAGGAAGGTCATCACTGATGGCCCCAAGAGTGGCTCAAAGGCCCAATCGCTGTGCCAGAAGTAGGCAAGGGCAAGGCCCCCAGTGCTGTGGCTCTGCCAGTGAGATAACAAGTCAATTTCCACCCGGAGTCAAGGCCTAACATGCAGTGGCAGCCTCTGCATAGAAACCTAGGGTCAGCCTCCATTAGCAGAGACCACACACTGCTCAGCACTTCCATGAATGCCCTGTCTGGTCAATCAGCAAGCACATTTGTTTCCAGTTTATGGCCCCAGAGAAGGGTGTCCTTAATCTGCCAGTCTGTAGTTCTCCACATAGTGGAACAAACATCTAGGCCATTTGGGCAAAAGCCAAGTCATCTGAGTTCTGCTGCTAAGAGCAGTGACCACGTCCACTCCTGGTTCTGCATAGCTGGCTCTGAGGCTGAACAGCCACAGAAGTCCAGTGGACATGGGCACCAGCCCAGCCACTCATTAGTGAACTAGACCCAGTCCCCAGGGGAATCTCAGTGAAGTGAGGTCCCCACAGAGCCACAGGTGTGCTTCAAATTGTGAAGTGGAATAGAGAGCAGAGGTACCACTGGGGCAAAGTGCCCA